CGGCTAGCAGTTATGCTGATTTACAGTTAACATTTCCCACGTTAGCCTCCGTAGTAGAGGGGGTAAGTCTTGCTAATGTTATATAGGTGATCATACTACTCTGCTTCATGGATGGAACATCTTAAATCATGAAGTTGTATAATATCTGGAATTATATAGAACTATGTTTGCTTTCTTACACGCGTTGTTGTGATCTGTGTTCGTATCACCGCTTGGTTTATTTTCTTTTCTAATTTTCCTTTGTCACTTCCTTGACCTTGAACGTGTACAACATCCTTAGAACACTTCCTCCCCTTAGAAGATGTGTTTTCAGGTACTGTTTCTTTTCTTCAGGATGCACAATATGAACATATTGAACATGTGTAATTCAACATATCTCATGGTTTATGAGTATTTATAGTTCTCTTGCACATGAGTCTTAACACATGAGGTGAGGTGATTTTCTGTTGGCTAGTAGCCAGCTTGAAAGTGTTACCTATTATAGTAGTATTGATCCTTATGTTGGTGGAAGGTAGTAGGTATCCCGTGAAATAATTGAGGTTCCGGTAAGCTGGCTCGGGCACTATTGCTATAACAAAGAAAGGCTTAAATGCAGGTGTTACTGGGTTAGAACACTGGTGATTTTGGAATATAGACAAAGAACCAGTCTGTCTTTGGTGATCTTATGAATCTAGTCCCATAGTGTCAAATTGGTGAAAATTTCTCTGGCAATGTTGCTTTACTTTAGGGAGGTTTTTTTTTTTTTACTGGGGGTTGGGGGGAGGGGGGGGGGGTAGTCGTGTATTTGAGCCATCCAGGATGTGACATCTGTTTAGGATTTACTGTCCTATTTTATGCGACAATTCTTCTATTTGAAAACTATTTAAAATTAGCCTTCGAGCTTTATCTTTAATGAGATGACTTGTTTGGACCTACTTTATAAAAGTTTATAAAATGTCATTCCTTTATTTAGGAGAGATAAAATAAATTAAAAAAAAATGCGGAGTTCTTACCATTATCATTTCATTATTTGTTACTTGACATAAATTTAAGTTATGTGTCGATATTCTTTTTTTATTTCTCAAATTTCGTGTGTAATCAAACAATTTTACGTCAAATAGAATGGTGTAGTTTGTTTTGTCTATTTTTGTGGGTCATGAGCTTGCATTTGGTAAATGTGAATAAGTGAAAATTACTTGTAAGAATGGAAGTCATTGTCATGGAATAAATGGTGTCTAATCATGGAAATTGACCGGTAAATTTGAGTGCTTTATTGGTTTTAGTTGAAAAAACAGGTGTCAAAGGAATAATGTTCGAACTATAGAAATGATTCATCAATGTTGGAACAGCTCATTACTACAGTAGTTGTTACTAATACCAGGTTTTTGTTTATATTACCCTTGAACAAGAAACTAGGAGAAACATATCAAGAAATCGTAGGATATATATAACTTTAGCCCCTATGATAATGATAATAAAGCTCAAAAGTCCATTTATCTTCAGAAGAGCAATAAGAATTTGTTTGCATTTTTTTCAAAGAAAAATCAATATGAAATTACAGTGTAATACTTCCCTTTCTTGTGTGCTTTCGCACATATACCAACTACAAAAAAAAAAAAAAAAAAAAAAAAAACTCTTCCCACACGAATGTGTTTGTTTGCAATCTGGATATTGGGCTTCAAGAAGAGGGACATGACTTGGTCCAAAAGAGAGATCTGGGCCCAACTCGAACCAAGTAAAGATGTGAAATACTACGGGCTAGCCAGTTTTCGGACTGATAATTGAAAATAGCCAGCGTTTACAAAATCATTAAGAAATAGCCACTATCTTGCTACAACACGAAAAGTTCCGGCATAATAAATTGGAGATTGGAGCACCTGTGTATGAACTTCCAGCATATTATGCTAGATCAGTATATTATGTTGGAACTCCAGTATATTATGCTGGAAGTTCGCATGTAAAAAATTCCAACTCCAATATATTATATGGGTGTTTACGGACGGGCTGGACCGGGCTGGACATGGGAAAAAATAGTCCGTACGGTTAGTGGGGCGGGCTGGTTAATAGGATGGGATTACAGGCTGGTAGTGGGCTGGGATATTCCGAGTTTTGGTGGGCCCGTTAGAGTTCGGGTTTATCGGGTCCGGACCGTCCGGGTAACTTTTTTTTAGTGTATTATGTTTCCTTGTTCAATGTAATTGTTACTTAAGTGTTTGCAAACTTTTAAATAATAAAATAAGTATTCTAAGGCATAAGATTAAACTTTTAAAGTTTAAAGTTTTAAATTTGAATTTAAAAATTTAAAAATTGAAATTAAGTGGCTACATAAAATTATTATTTAATAAGACCAAGTAAGGGTCAAACTTCAAAGGTTTTTCATTTCATATTTTCATTGCATAATAATAATTCAAATTAACTTGTCGTATAAACTACTAACAAATTAAGCTTAAATAAGTCTAACAATAAAATAACCCAAATTGTCTCAAATCAACTTAAATACGAATTCCTGGAAGACGCACAAGACAACCATTGATATGCCTCCCTAACCCAGTCGTGCCCTCCCACTTTCGATGAACATTAAGGACTTGACCACAGTTCTTGCACTCTACTTTGCGAACTTCTTCATTTTCTCCTACCACCTCAAAGTGTTGCCAAATATGTGAACGCACTCTAGAAGCACGGGGCATGATTTAACTTGAACTTAACAAAAATAGTAACCATACTTCACTTGATAATTGTAATTTTGTAGTGGCTACCATAAATAATTGATAAAACTTGAAATATTAATTAATTGAGAACTTGAGAGCAATAAGCAATTCAAATAATCAAAAGGGAATTGAGAGAGAATTAGAAGAAGAGAGCAAGTTGTGAAAAAAAATGAAGAAGAAGGGGGCTATTTATAGTTATTAAAAGGCCAAGAATGTAATTTATCAATTATTAGAGGGTGGAGGGGCTATTTTAGTAAGGGGATAGGACGAAATGGCTATAAGTGCAAGAAATGGCCGTTGCCCAACGGTCATTTTTTATTTTGACCATTGGTAATGGTCATAATTTAAAAAAAATGTACAACATAAACCAGGCTGGAAGGGTTAGCGAGCTAGTCGGGTTCCGGTGTACCGATAGCCAAAAAAGGCCCGACTCCGTCCGGCACAACCCCCTACCCTAGCCAACCCGCCCAACCCCTTACCCAACGAGGCTGAACCGAGTAGAACCGGGTTGTTAGTGGGCCGGTCCGGCCTGATTAACACTCTTAGTATATTATGCTGAAATATTTTCCGGCTTTTGAGCATTGTTTTCGTTCAAATTTATCTTTACATGAAAAGTGGTTAAATTTCAATAACTTTTGAAACTGTGGCTATTTTTCAATTACCACTTGTAAATTTAGCTATTTTTGAATTTCACCCAGTAAATATGCCTAAATAAAATGGTTTTTTTTTTCACTTTTAGCCTGCGCCAGAAACTATTTACATTTAATAGCCAAAAAATTAATAAAATTTGTATATAACATACATAATCTATATATATACAAAAAATATATAATAAAAATATATTTTTCTGTTATTATTTTCAGAGCGGCTATACAGTATCATTTTTCCTTCATTTGATTTTATTTGGGAAAATGACCCGTATAGCCGGTCTGAAAATATTAGACGAAAAATATTTATTCAATTATGTTATACCTCAAAATAAATAAAACTTAAGATGCCTAAATAATGAATTCAATTACATTAACCACGTAATTATTACTACTAAGTTTTACTTTTTCAAGTAAAGAATAATTTGATAAGAAAGCTAAAATGAGGTATGTCGTTGGAAGCATAATTATATTATATTGGAGTGTATTGTGATAAGCTTACATGTTGTTCTACGTGTATATTATTTAAATGCATACCAAGTTCAAAATATATTCGATATAACACACCTTGGTTGTGTGAGGTTGTTCAAATTGTCAATCAATCTCAAACACGAATAAATGAAGAGAATTATAATACGTGAATAAAAACTAATTTTAATATAGAATAGGAAATGGATTACATGCACTTAATATTAGAAAACATATTCTTTGTCTTCACTTGCACACATACAGCAGAGTAGGAGGTATCAATAGCCAAATCATAACCAAAGTTGACCTTCAAAGGAAACTGAATATGTTCAATGAACCCATAAATAAATAAAGGGGAAACATCAACTTTACTACATAAATAATTTGGACGAGCTAATTCGAAGAAAAAGAAATAGTTGCTTCCATCAGTACATGTGGTCCAAGGAGCAATGGCCGGTACAACATTTTTTTTTAAAGTTGTACAATGGAGCATCACTATTAGTCTACTATACATTTGGTCTTGGAACTTGTTTAACAATATGGAAAACATAATTAAATATTTGAATTCATTTTTTAAAAATATTTTCTGGTCCAAGTACTTTTATTTGTTTAGGAAGTGTGGAAAAGGGAGCCCACGAGCTATTTATCGAAGAGGAATAAAATAACATTAAAGGTTTGTTTCTTTATGCACTAACATTGAAGATCTAGTTTACAAAATTAAGATTATTTTTGTCTCATACTAAGAAAGTAACGTAGCTCACGACTACTGGTGATAATCACGAAGTGGATAAGTTCACCATGTTACGGTTAGTATGCTTCTTTAAGAAAAAAATGATTTAAGTTATGTATTGTGTCAGTATCATACGCAGAATGATAGTTCGTTGTAGTTATTGGTTTGTAATTAATTTTTTTATATATTAAATAAATTTTTTAATATAAATATAGAGTTTAAGTAAAAACTACTAAATTTGTCCTACCCGAAGCTACTGCACTACCTCCACCCTCGGTGAATGTATATAGCTTTTTAAACGATCAACAAAGTTTAATAAATTATAACAGTCTTTACGTAATAATTAACACTCATGATCGCCTATAAAAATTTAATGTATAAGTTGCTTGATTACGTAAATATTTTTACACTAACACAAATGCATGAAACTTAAAACTCAAACAAAGTTATTTACATTAATGAGGAATATATAAGTAAGACGATTTTGTTTAAACTTGGTCATGCATCGAGAAGCAGTATTGAAGTGGTGGATATTTGACTAATTTACAACCCAATTAAAATGGTTACTATATCCACAATGAAGCTCGAAATATCATGAACAATTTATAGCATATTCAAAGAACTGCTAAACTTGGAATTAAGCATAATGGAATTTCACATAATTCATATTTCACATCTCAATAAATATTCTTGAATATTCACACCACAGGTAATGAACCTCCAGCATCCACGAGTTGTTTCTCCAGCTACAAATTAGTCAATTAATTGCAAAATGAGTATTTTATTTGCAATTAATGAAGCATATATATAGTTGAATGATAGAAAATGAAATCACCTTAAATAAAGTTTCAAGCTTGTTTTTGACAAGGGTGTACTCATTCTTTACTTGTTGCAAACATTTTAAGCACCTGCAGTTAATGATATTTGGCTTTATTCAATTGTCAATAAAAAAAGAAAAAATAATGAAAGGAAATTTAGGAAAAATTAAGAAATTATTACACGAAAAGCCTTACCCTTCAACAATCTGTTGCTCACAATAATTACGGAAGGCAATGCACATTCTTTGAACTCTCTGAGCACCAATGCTGTAATTAAATTAAAAGAAGAATTTAACTTCCATGCACGGACTAGGTAAAATTTTATTACTATTAAGTCACCTATTCATAGCTACAGGTATTGTTAATAAAAAGTGAGATTAATAATCTGAAAAATAAGAGAGGGTACAAATCTAGGTTATAAATCTTAATAAAGAGATGCACATGTCATTTGTACAAATTGAAAATTGATGTTAAAACTTTGAGAAATATTACCCAGTTTTGACTTTTGTCTGTCAAAATTTTCCAAAAAACAGAACAAAAATATGCATGCTATTTCTTTGACTTCAAAATGAAGTGAAATGGCCTTGACCAATCCAACTCCAAACATAACTTAGATAACTGAAAGAAAATAGGGCAAAATATAAAATTGAACTTTCGGCCAAAACTAATTATCTCCAATAGCCAAAAAGTATATAAAATATATATATATATATATATATATATATATATATATATATATATGGGACAATAACAAAACAGTATAATCCCACAAAGTTGGGTCTAGGGTTATTATTTTGGGAGTGGCTACAAATATACATTTCTCAAGAAAATAAGCTCATAATTAATTCCAAACCCCAAATTGGAAAAAGAAAAGAAAAGAAAAGAAAAAAAAAAGAAAAGAGATTGGAGTTATTTACCTGGAGCTGCTACCCTTCAACTGATGAACATGAGCATCAACTTTCTTGAAGTCTACATTTGGCTGATTGCTGTTTTTACAAACAAAAATTGAAAATTATGCTACAGAAAATAGAAAAACAAAGGAGATATTATATACTATGTTAATTACTCACAGAGCTTTGGTTAGTTCATTAAGAAGCCTTTCAGAATCTTCAAAGAAAAGGGACACAACTTCCACCACAAAGTCAGGGTTACTCTCATCTGCAAGTTGTTGCAGTTGTATGAACTGCTCATCCAGAAATTTCTTCACACCCAAACAAAAATAAATAAATAACCACCCATCATCAAAACCATACCATATTAAAAGAGGGGGGGGGGGGGGGGGTTTCAAATTAACACCAATCTAATTCTTATAACAATCACACCAACAATAACATATACAGTGTATTCCCAATATTATTTATTATTCGGTGTATTCCCATATTGTGAGTCTGATGTGGGTAAAGTGTACGCAAACCTTACCCTACTTTATGGAGGTAGAGAAACAGTTTCCAAAATACCCTCGGCTCAAGAAAAACAATTCACCAATCTGATTCTTATCTTTTTAGAAAGAAAAAATCTAGAGGTTTAGAGGTTTACCTCATTGTACAAGGAAGTAGTGTACTCAGCTAGTTTTCTTTGTAACAGGTTTATACTCTCCATGATTTGCTATATCCACAATGACTTCACAAACTAACAGTCTGCTCTGTTAGTTTTAATGACAAGTTTTTATAATTAGTAGTGAGTGCATGGAGGAAGTTCCTTTTCTATACTCCCTGTCGTTCACAATAAGTGACCAATTTACTTTGGGCACACCCATTAAGGAAATACTAAATTCTAGACAAAAGTAATTAGTATGACTAAAGTACCCTTAATTAAATATTGCAACATAATTAATGTGCGGAGTAAAAGACTTTTTAGGGATATGTACATGAGGGTAATTTTGGAAAAATAAATTGAATTGTTTCTTGGTTATATAACTGGACACTTATTTTGGACCAAAATAAAAAAGCAAATTGATTACTTATTGTGGACCGCAGGCATGGGCGAAGCCACATGATCGTAAGACCAGTGACCACCCTTCGTCAAAAAATTATACTATGTATATAGGTACAATATTACGTTTTGGAGGTATATAACACATATTGAACACCCGTTGTCGGAATTTTTTTTCACTTCTTTTAAATTTGAACACCCTTGGAGAAATTCTTAGCTTCGCCACTGACCGCAGGGAGTACTATCTTTTCTTGGAAAAGCTCCAGCGGGGGAGGGGCACTCTATTCTATAGCGGGGAAGTCTAATGTTCAATGAACTTTGCACATTGATTCACTGTATTTATATACTCTCTCTCATACACACACACTTTTATTCTTTTCTTTTTCCCCTCACTTTCTGCAATTATGTCTCTATTCCTTGTGCCTCCTTCGTGTCCCTTGTTGTTTTTTTTGCAGCTATATAGTTCTTAAAATAGTAAAGCTGTCACGAGATCCTAAATATTTTTTACCATACCTTTTCTTTTTGGTTTATTTGTTATTTATTCCATTTTCTACTTTCTTTTTCGTAATATTCCACTCTCTCACACAGAAGTTAAACTTGTCCCGATTAATATATGATGGTAATATAATACGTGAACTGTATCTCTAGATACTTGTACGCTTGAGATAAAGTATAATGAACAGTATGCTTTCGTTTACTATATTTAAAACTATGGTAGGTGTGCTAATTGTCGGGCTTGCAGGATTTCGACATACATTTATTTCAGCTTGAAATATTATTTGAAACCAATTTTTTGTTTTACAATCTGGTTCCTTAGATGCTTCTTATAATAAATTTGGTCATTATTCTAGCTAGTACGTATACTCTGTTTCTGATTATATGTTTGTTTTGCTTATATAAGATTATCATAACTATTTGTAAAACATATAATGGTAATACCGTGACCAACTTTCCTAATATTCTTTGTATCGTTTCAAAAGAATTAATAATGTCCTTAATTAAATCAATTGTTGAATTTATTTTTAAAGAATATGAGTATTGTTTACCCTTAAAATTGAATAACAATTAAACTTATAATGTAATTTTAAGGATACGTGATTTCATCTAATATCAATTGATAAATGCAAAGAGTAATAATAGAAATTAACAATATTATAAAGCAAACCAGTGTTTGAACAGAATTCAGCCCCCAGACTAATTTGTGCAAGAACAGTTAAAATATAACAAGCTGATGAACAAGGATATGAACTATAGAAAAGGCGTTATATTGCTTTGATATCTCAGAGTGTAAGGTGCTTACAAAATGATTAGGACCTCTTTATATAGTAGAGGAATCCTATCTATGGTACAATTCTAATTACGGAAGTAAATCCTATGATTAGCCTAAACAACTGCCTTTGATTTGATCCGTTCCGACATTCCCGCCATGATCTTCGACCAGTCACATATACATCGCTTTCCTGTTATTGTGCTTTGCTCGGATCCTGCCTTGTTTGGTCTTGATTGCCGCCGGCCTCGATCTCGGCAGGCACTTCGATTCTCGAACTCGGTACCTTATCTTCGTCACTTTGATCTGCTCCACCATGAGGCTAACCATCGATGCAACTCCCTGGTATCGATCAAATAGTAAAATCGGGTAGGCCCGGTTTTAACCGTATGAAAATAGTCCCCTCGTTTCTTGGAAATTAATGAGAAGAAATGAATTGAGCCTTCGATTTTATACTGCGATCTGTCATGACGTCATCCTCATGACGTAAGCGGCGGAAGTGATTGAAACGTCCCGTCGGTACAGTTCCCAAAGTCATTAATGAGCGTCAGTTGGTGATCAGCCACCAGTGCCTTTGGATCGTCTCCGTGAATCACTTAAATAGGCCCCTTCTCTCATTGATTCAATCTTTACTTTCACTTCCTTCTAATCCCTTAAGCTTTTTACATCTCTTAAGCTCTTTATTACTTCAAAATCCCCAGGTTTCGTTATCAACCTTCCCTCAAAACACCAAGCCTTACTCTCTTCTTCTTTCTTTAAACTTATACAAAAATGGAAAAAACGTCAAAGACCGTTCCTCAAAAGGAAAAAGCTTCTTCATCGCGGCCGACCGGTGATAAAACACCGGTGGAGCCACGCCTTGAGGAGTGTGTTCTCGGGAGGTGTGAACTTACTTCTGACTTCAAAGTCGAGAAAACTCCATCGGTCCCTGGTCGATGCGAGCCAATGTCGAGATATATATGCTCGATAACTGAGGGTGACCTTGAGCAGGTAAAAAAGACTGCCATTGGGAAGATAAAGAGGTGGTGATTCCGGCCCCCGAAGAAAACATCACCACCCATGTGAAAGGGTTTCTGAGTGTTTACACTTACCCTTTCACGTTGGGCCCTGTCGATCCGGTCATCGTCGATTTTTGCCGCCAATACCAAATAACCATAGGTCAGATCCATCCCTCCTTTTGGCGGATTGTTATTCTACTCCGATTCTTCGCGAACAAAGTCGAAGGGATGTCTTTCACCCTCGACCATCTTATCAGGCTGTACAACCCCCGTCTCTATCGAGGCGGGTTAATAAGGCTTCAACGTCGGGCTACCAAGGTGCTGTTCTCGAGCATAGACGAGGACAAGGATCGAGGATGGATAGGCCGGTTTGTTCGAGTGAATACTTCCGACCTAATCCCGGCCAAGAAGATGCCATTTCCCGAGAAATGGAATATGAAACGTAAGTATAATCCCACCTATAGCTTCCATTTATTGTTTTGACTCCTTTGCCTTTTCTCATCGATATCCTTTCCTATGAAATAGCGGTTTCTTGGATGCCCGGTTCAATTCCTAACCTCGAGAGCTGGGTTCGGAAATTGGCTTCGACCTCTTCGTATGCTGAGCGCTCATGGCGCGATTTGGCAAGGGGTCGATGGGAGGCCAAAAATCATGGTAAGCCCTTTTTCACGTATTAGATGATCTTTTATGAAATGTTTCTCTCCATACTCACTTGATTTCCTTTCATACAGGCCTCGGAGAAAATGCTGTCATGAGGCCTCCATCTGGGGAGGATGAGGTGTCGCCCTCGGCCCCAAAACCGATGAAGGATAAAAAAAGAAAAAGGGTCTCAACCTCCAAGGACCCAAATCCCAAAAAAGTAAGGCTCGTAAGCCGAAGAAAGACACCATCATCCTACTTGCAGAGGTAGTTCAGCGGCTAAGAGATGAAGAAAAAGAAAACGAGGATGACGGCTCCGAGCTGGTGGCCCGAGTGAAGAGGAGCAACGAGGCCCCAAAGGCCTTTGAGTTGGTGAGGGTTGGAGAAATTCAGCCTCGAACCGAAGGGGTTCTGGGAAGAGGACCCGGGTAAAGTCCCCGAGTTGTTGGAGACTGAAGACGCCTCCTGCTGAGATGAGGAATCGGTAGGTATGTCCGAAGGGGCCAGCTCCGAGGCCCTTCGAAATGAAGAGAACGCCCCAAGTGATTCACTTGAGGTAATAGAAATTGGGGACTCCCCGCCGCTTCCTTCATTCTCGGAAGGGGAAGTTCGGGAGGCTCAGGCTATGAAGGCCCCTCAGGTAGAAGGTTCCCTCGGAGGGGAGGACCTTTTTCAAAGTTGTTTTGCTGGGGTCGATGATGTCTTCGGCTTGAATGACTTGGCCATATCGAGGAGGAGCTTGGGAGAAACTTCCTTGAGTTTCAGATTGACCAGCCAGTTCTTAGCCCCTGGTATCGATCCTGAGTGCAAACGGACCATCACTATTACGGTCTCGGAGGATGCACGAGTTTTTGCCGCCCCCTTAGGGGTGGCCAGTTACCTTCAAGGTCTGGTCACCGAGGAGGATCAAGCTCTGATGGACGAGGTGGGAGCACCATGCCTCTTCAATGAGGCCCAATAAGCTTTGAATCGGGTAAGCCCTAACCTTTTCTGTTGATGTTGGTCTTCATACTTGTGTTTTTCTCTCTTTGCCTAATTTTTTCCCTCCTATCTGTGTAGGCCTCGGTACTTCATCATGAGGCTTTCTTCAAGTCTCGAAGAGAGTTGAGCCGCTATGAAGCTAAAGTTCGAGGGCTTACCGAGGAGAAAAATTCTCTCAAGCTTCTTGGTGAGCAAAAAGAACAAGAAATCATAGGTCTCCGAGTTGAGTTGTTCGTGGCCCAGAAAGAACAAAGTGAACTGACCGAGCAGGTAAATAAAGTCTTAGACGATGGCCTCGATTTCGGAGTGATGGCTAATGATTCGATCTCACAGGTCCAGCGGCTGCATTAAACGATCGTGTAACTCCGAGGAGAGGTAGATGAGGTGAAGGCAGAGACTTCGATGTGGAAGCAAAAGATGGATCGCCTTGCCTCGGAGAAAGAGGCAGCTCGAGCTCAGTTATCCTCAACCGAAAGCCAACTCCATGGCATGAAAGAGAAGAGCTTAGAACAAGCCAAGAAGATTGAGGAGCTACAGGCTCGGTTGGACACGGAGATTGCAGCGGTGAAATCTGAGGCTGAGACGATTAAGGCCGATGTTGAGGCGATCGCGGCCGTCTACCGATCTGACGCCGAGGCTGCTCAAGCTCAAGCAAAAGAAGTTTCTGATGCTACTCAGGCTCGAGCATACTGGGTTGCCGAGCATGCCAAAGCCTAGCCTCGAAGAGAGACTCTTGAGGAGATTCACGCTCGTGGATTTAACCTTGCTTTCGAGATCGAGAATGCGAAAGAACTTGAGGCTGAAGACAAAGCGTTGCTCTCTTCTAATGATGATGATTTCGGGAGTGTGAGTGGATCTGAGAGCGCAGGAGATCCCGATGGCGAGGATGT